GGTCAGATGTGTGTGGATGTGCATTGTCATGCAAGATCACACTGCCTTTGGATAGCAGTCCTCTCCCTTTAATCCTAAATTTAGGCTTCAGCTCTTCAATGAGCATCTCACTATTGACTGTTGTACCTTTTTCCTGATAGTGTTCCAATACTGGCCCTTGAGGATCCCAGAAAACTGTAAGCATCAGTTTTCTAGCTGATAGTTGACTTTTTTTTTTCCAAGTTTTTATTGTGAATTGAGAGCAAGTTTACAGGGTAGATCATCAGATCTACATTCAACAAATCATACACTTTGTTTCATTACAATGGTTATAATCCCCTCCATGTACCATCAGTTAACAGTATTTCTCTCTAATCATTTAAGCTCTTTTTTTTTAACTCAGACATATATATAATAATTTACACCACTAAATGACACATTCTGCAAGTCTGCCTCCTGGCCACAGCTCTCAGTCCCTTTCTTCCCATGAATCTAGAGTCCTCAGCTGCTCCCTCTCTCCATGTTCCCATCTCTGCCTCCATTTCTGGTGTTGCTGCTTCTCTGGATACCAGAAATGCTTCTCTGGACACTAGAAATGCGTCTCCATTTCTGGTGTCGCTGCTTCTCCGCATTCCGCTTGTGCTCTACTCCCTTGATGGTCCTAGAGTTCTCTGTCTCTGGACTGTAAGATTAACTACTCCTCCGTTTTTGTTACAAAACTTCCACCTTTACAATTGTGACAGTCTCAGTCATGATAACAGTTATTCACTATTGAATCATATGAATCTTATCCCCATCTCTTTTCACTAGACCTGTCTAGACAAGATGAAAACTTTTCAGTGGGGACTCTATGTTCCCCACACACTTAAACTAAACTCCCTCTTGAAACCTTGTAAGCCAATCACTTCATGCCTTTATCACCCCCACATTTTAGGTAGCCAATGTCTAAGTTGCCCGTCCCTATCTACCCGGTGTACAGAGGGGATAGCATTGATCCTTGATGTGAAGACTCCTTCCCTCTGTGTTGGTATTTTGAGCTACTATCTCCATGAGTGAAAGAACACAACCCTGTTGCACACCTTTCCCAATTTTAAAACATTCAGTGTTCCCATGCTCTGTTCGAACAACTGCCTCTTGGTCCAGGTACAGATTTCTCAGAAGTACAATTAAGTGTTCTGGAATACTCATACTTCTCAATGTTGGGTTCTATGAAGAAAACCGTGGCATCAGGATTGGAGGAAGACTTATTAACAACCTGCGATATGCAGATGATACAACTTTGATCGCTGAAAGTGAAGAGGACTTAAAATATTTACTGATGAAGATCAAAGAGCACAGCCTTCCATATGGATTACAATTCAATGTAAAGAAAACAAAAATCCTCACCACTGGACCAATAAACAGCATTCTTATCAATGGAGAAGAGATTGAGGTTGTCAAGGACTTCATTCTTCTTGGATCAACTATCAACACTCGTGGAAGCAGCAGTCAAGAGATCACACGATGTATTGCATTGGGCAAATCTGCTGCACAGGTACTTTTTAAAGTATTGAAGAGCAGAGATGTCAGCTTGAGGACTAACGTGCGCCTGACCCAAGCCATGGTATTTTCAGTAACCTCATATGGATGCGAAAGCTGGACAGTGAATAAGGAAGATCGTAGAAGAATTGATGCCTTTGAGTTGTGGTGTTGGAGGAGAATACTGAAAGTGCCATGGACTGCCAAAAGAACCAATAGATCTGTTTTGGAAGAAGTACAACCAGAGTGCTCCTTGGAGGCCAAGATGGCTAGGCTTCGTCTCTCATACTTTGGACACATTGTCCGGAGAGAACAGTCGCTGGAGAAGGATGTCATGCTGGGTAAGGTGGAGGGTCAGAGAAAAAGAGGAAGACCCCCAATGAGATGGATCAGCCAGGTGACATCATTGATGGCGTCAAGTGTGGCGGCGGTAGTGAGGTTGGCCCAGGATCGAACATTGTTTCGTTCTGCTGTGCATGGGGTCGCTATGAGTAGGTTGTGACTCGATGGCACCTGACAACAACAACATCTCCATGAGTATAGTTTGATAGTTGACTTTTGAACTTTTTCTTGTTCAACAATTGAAGATGTTTCCATTCCATACTCTGCAATTTACTCTCAGACTCGTAGTGATAAATCCATGTTTTGTCACCAGTAACAGTGTGTTTTTTTGAGAGATTTTTACCTTTCTTCATGTATTGGTCCAAATTTTGTTTTCAGATATCCACATGTCATACCTGCACAGCAGTGACCTTGAACGGAAAGTGCTGATAAGACAATGCAGCCAACAGAATTTTTAATATAACTGGAATGCAGATAATTTTTGACTCACCATCATAATTCCATAGGCAAATCTGCTCCATAAGACCTCTTTAAAGTGTTCAAGAGCAAAGATACCAGTTTGCGGACTAAAGCACACCTAACTCAAGCCATGGTATTTCGATAGCCTCATGTGCATGTGAAAGTTGGACAATGGAGAAGGAAGACTGTAGAAGAATTGAGGAATTTGAGTTATGATGTTTGAGAATATTAAAAGTACCATGGACCACCAGAAAAATAAACAAATCCATGTTGGTAGAAGTACACACAGAATGCTCCTTCGAAGCCAAGATGGTGAGATTCGTCTCATACTTTGGACATGTTATCAAGAATGACATTATGCTTGGTAAAGTGGAAGGTTAGTGAGAAAGAAGACTCCAATGAGATGGATTGACCCAGTGGCAGCAACAAGGTGCTCAAGTAAGGGTGGCAGCATTTGTGAGGATGGCACAGGATTGGGCAGTAATTGCTTCTGTTGTTTCATAGTGTCACTATGAGTTGGGATCAACAGCATCTAACAACAATGAATACTAGCTATGTTTATAATCATTTGAGGAACTGCCAGACTGTTTTCCAAAGCAGCTACACCATTTTGCATTCTTACAAGCAATGTACTAGGGTTCCAGATTTTTTTACATCTTTGTCAGCACTTGTTAATATCTGTCATTTTTAAATAGCCACCCTACTGAATATGGAGGAGTATCTCAGTGTGGTTTAAATTTAGGGAAATAGAATAACATGTAGTTATTGGCCATTTGTATATATTTTTTGGAGAAATGTCATTTCTTCTTCTTTGACCATTTATAAATTGGACTATTTGTCTTTTGGTTACTGAACTGTAAAAATTTATGTATTTTTTTTCTAGATACAAAACCCTTATCAGATATATTATTTGTAAAAATTTTCTACTACGTGGAGGGTTTTCTTTTCATGCTTTTGATGGTGTCTTCTGAAGCTCAAAGGGTCAAAATTTTGATGAAATTCAGTTTATTAAATTTTTTGTTATTGCTTAAACTTTTAGTTCCATATCTAAGAAACTATTACCTAATCCAAGGCCATGCAGATTTATGCCTGTGCCTTCTTTTTAGAGGTTAGTGATTTAAGCTATAACATTTAGATGTTTAATTCACTATTAGTTAGTTTTTTTTATATATTTTGAAGTAGGGGTTTAACTTCATTTTTTTTGGCATGTGATGTCAATTGTCCCGGCTCCATTTGTTGTAAAGTCTACTTTTCCCCCATTGAATTTTCTTGACACTAATATCAAAAGCCACTTTACTATGATTATTAAGATTTATTTCTACATTCTCATTTATGTTTCCTTCATCCTTCTGTATCTTTTTATGTCAGTACTATATTATCTTATCTTGTTTAAGCTTTGCTATAAGTTTTCAGATAGGCAAGTGTGAGTCTGCCAAGTTTGTTTTTGTTTTCAGAATAGTTGTGCTAATTGGAGTCCCTTGAATTTCCATAAGAATTTTAAGATCATCTTACCAGTTTTTAGAAAGAAGACTACTGGAGTTTTGATGGGTTAGATCAGTGGTTCAACCCCACCAGCTGTACCTTATATGAATAATGAAGCTGTCTTGCTCCCTTAAAGGTTTACTGGCTTGGAAACCCTGAGGAACAGTTCTACTCTATACTATGGAGTTGTTACAAGTTGGAATCAACTTGATGGCAATAGGGTTGTTTTTTCATAAGTAGATATGGTGTTATTATTAAGAGAATGAATATTATTTATTTAGAATACTTTCTTAGTTTTTCTCTTCTCTTGAAAGACATGAAATACTTAGCTGATATTGTCATTACCTTGTTTTATGGTGAAATATTTATTCTATTTATTTAATTCTCATTGCTAAGATAAGGAGTGCTGATGGTGCAAAGGTTAAGAACCCGACTGCTAACTAAAATGTTAGTGGTTCAAACCCCAGCAGCTCCGTAGGAGAAAAACTTGGCAGTCTGCTCCCATAATTTCTGCTGTATCATGTACGGTTCCTGTGAGTTACAATTGGCTTGATAACACACAACAACAATTGCTAAGATACATACCAAAGAAAATAAATGTCGTTTGCCTGGTGTGTGTTTATTAAAAACACACCAGTAGTAGCTTTTCCTTCAATTAAATTAACTTCATGCATAACATACTGAGAGAAATTCTAATGGGAGACCAAATATGTAGGACTGTGACTAGAAGAAAAGCTGCCAGACGTAACTGGGGAGTCAAATAGGAAAGTCTGTGTGAAGCGATTTTAGCTCCAAGGATGTATCTTTACAATCTTTCTAAACTTAAGTGAAAATGTACATTTATTACTTTCAATTATTTATTTTAATGATCATGTTATTTTCTAAGTAATTTACCTGAAATAAAATGTTTTTAAAGGCAAATATATTAAGCATAATTATTTTGAAGTAAGTAGGATGATATAGAATTTTTTGGAAATTAACTTTGAATTGAAACATTGTCTGGTGCACCAAGGCACTTAGTAAATATTGGTTGGATAAAGGAACAAATGAAAGGAAACCCCTTACATGAATCACTGCTTTTAAAACCCAGACCCCAACCTTAGGGAAGATTCTAGATAATCCTTCAATTCACCAAGATAAGTCCTGCTTTCAGGCTAGATTGTTTTTCAGTGTTTTCAATTTCCTTTAAAGGATAACCTGAGAGTTTCACATTTTTACAGAGTCTATGTCATGGTTGGTGCCGATGTCCCATTTTCTTCTTGTTTACGAGAAGTCAAAAATCCACAGAACCAACTGAGATGCAGTCAGGAAATGGAACCTGTAATAACATGTGATAAAAAATTTCGCACTCAATTTTACATTGACTGGTGCAAAATTTCATTGGTGAGTTTTTTGTTTTATTTTGTTTTGTTGTTTTTACAGATGTAAAATGGATATGCCTGGAGATAAAGTTTGACTGAAACCTAAATTGCTTTTAGGGACAAATCCTGGGTTTACTTTGTTAACTGAAATTGACTTACTTTGACAATGATTTGACCTGCTCATTGACACAGCATTCATTTAAGAAAGAGTATTTCCACTTTTGTACTCACTCTACCCTTGATTAGTTCCCGGGGCTGGATTAGCTTGGCAGGTGGTCCAGATGGACCCCCTTGCATGTCCAGGTGGCTCCTAAATCAGAGAGATTATGCATTTAGTACAACACCTGAAAAATGTCTCTCCTTTAAGTATGCTGCCACTATTCTGCTTTGGAAAGGAGCTCTGGTAGGTAATGGTGACAAGTCGGGCTGCTAACCTTAAGGTCAGTACTTTGAAACCACCAATGGTTCCATGGGAGAAAAATGAGTTTCTGCTCCCATACGGATTCACGGTCTCAGAAACCCTATGCAGGATCACTGTGAGTCGGAACCAACTGCATGACACACTACCACAACAAGTCTGGAAGGAGGTGCCAGAGTACAGTAAGTCTGAAAAAAGCAACAACAGTATGCAAGATGTAATATCTTGTGTATTCAAATTATAGGGAAAGTTCAAGGGAGAAGAAATATTTCCAAATGGGGAAAGTCAGAATCTTACAACCTTAAGTATAAATTCGTAAATACATGCACAAGGGGACTTCAAAACATTATATATATATATACACACACACACATAATATAATATAATACATATTATATGTGTGTGTGTGTGTGTATATAGGAGTGTATATTATATAGGAGTATATATTATATAATATATGTATATATATATATATATGTATATAGGAGTCCTGGTGTGGCGCCGTGGGTTAATGAGCCAGACTGCGAAGCCATTTGAACTATGAGGTCTGTGGTTCAAGCTCACCAGCTGCTCCTTGGAAACCCTATACAGGGTTGCTATGGGTCAGAATCTACTCAATGGCACTTGACATATATATATAATGTATATAAAGGAGCTCTGGTAGTGTAGTGGTTACAAATTGGGCTGTGAATCTCAGGATCAACAGTTCAAAACTACCAGTTGTTCTGTGGGAGAAAGATGAGGCTTTCTGCTGCCGTAAAGATTTATAGCTTTGGAAACCGTGTACAGGGTCGCTGTGAGTCAGAACCAACTCCACGGCACATTACAACAACAACATAATGTATATAGATCCAAAATATTATATATATATATATATATATACACACATACACACACACACACACACACACAATCTAAGGAGCTCTGGTAGCATAGTGGTTACGAATTGGGCAGCAAACCGCAAGGTCAGTAGTTCGAAACTACCAGCTGTTCTGCGGGAGAAAGATGAGGCTCTCTGCTCCTGTAAAGATTTACAGCCTTAGAAACCTTGTACAGGGTCGCTATGAGTCGGAACCGACTCCACGGCACGTAACAACAACAACATACACAATCTATGAGTGTATCTTTGTAGTTGTTACATGCCATCAAATCAGTTCCACCTCATAGCAACCCTGTATAGTGTTTCCAAGGAGCAGTAGGTGAATTTGAATTGCCAATCTTGAACGATTCAAACGACCTTAAGGTCCAATGCTTATCCTACAGCTCCACATCAGGACTCCTGATATATACTTATATATAAATATATGTACATATTCATGTATAAATGTAGATATGTACACACACATAGATCCAAGAAGTCTTCAAAAACTTCAAGAAAAAAATGGAATTGAAAGATAATGGACCTTTTTCCACAAAC